CGCGTCTCTTGAACGCGCAGGACGACCAGATGCCGCGCAGAAGTCATGCTAAACTGCTCCTTGTACTTCGCCACATAATCCCCTCGGATGCCCTGGGCGTTCCAAGTGAGCAGGCGGCGCAAGCTGCCAGGGAGGCAACTCCGCCTCGGTCTTTCCCGAGATAACGCTACCCCTGCGCGGCGCAACGAGATCTACTTGGGAGGATGAGGAGGATCCGAAGTGGGGGAGGTTGTAGCTGCGCGCTGATGGTCTCCAACTTCGCGCGCAATATTCGAATATTTGCCCTTTCTGGCCATTCAACCAAAGATGTATACAGCGTCGCTGTCAAAGTTGGCACCGCCGTCGAATAATCTTGCGCGCGCGCAAAATTGCCCAGCGGCTGTAGCTGTAGCAGCTGGTGGCGTAGAAAAAGATGACGGAAGTAAGCCCGGAGCAAATGGACTTCCACAGGTGGCTCCTCGAGGGTGTCTTTGACCATGCTACCAACAGAAGATGGATCGGCATGCGTATCCGTATCGGTGTGCATGTTGATACTGATAAAGCCAGATTGCCAAAATAAAGAGAACAAAGCTGCTTGGTCAGGAATTCTCGCGACGTCCAAGTGCTCCAAGGCATTGTGCTGTTGGTCGGCTTCTGCACTGGGCGCAGTGAAACTTGGATCCGCGATCGACCCCAGTGCCCGCCGCATTTCCTACTGACCAGCATTTCCGTTGGGTCTTCCCTTGGTCTCTCCCTTCGTCTGGGCGTTCGCCCTGTGCGCGATGGCATCGCAGTTGTGTGTCAATTGTATGAGCTTGGGATTGTTGTGCAAATCTTCCCATGTTTTCCATTCGCCGTCCCAGCTGCGCTCCGTTGATCTCTCTTTGATGCGTACTGTGAATGCAAGCTGACCTCTAGCACGCACCTGGTAAGGCGACTCCTCCGAGATCTGGATGGTGCACGGGTTGTGCAGCTCATATTCTAAAATGTGCTTAAAACCAACACAGTAGTTGCATGCAGCTCGTTCTACTGGCTCCTGGCCTGGCGAAGACCATGAATTATCCGATCCACGCTTAACGCTTCCACTCCGTAGCGTTGCCGCTGCTGTGTCCCTTCCAACGTGGTGCCGAACTCAGCGAAAAACATGTGTTTGAAATCTCCTTTTGCATACTTACCTGTCTGTTGGTATCGGGCCGTTCATCGTGGTCAACGCCTCCTTCAGAACAACTGATGCCCCAGTTTCCGCATCGAAGTCTTCCAAAATGCCAACCACTGCAGTAACTGCACGTTTTCCACTGTATGGTCAAGATCAGCACGCTGGTGGGCCACATGCTCCAGGTCTTGCCTGATTTTGCCAACACGCTCTTTCATGGCGTTTTCCATGTTGGAGGCGCGCATTTGGATATCAGCAATATCGTTGGACACCGCGTACTGTAAGTCTTCGCACTTTGTGGTTAATGATTTGATTTGGGATTTGAATGGTTCTGTAGCTTCTTCCAAGCCCCGGGGAGAGACTCCGTGAAGCTTGATTGCTGCAGTATCGTGCTGAATACGACGTAGGTCTTCCGCAGCCAGCGCACCAACATCATATCATTCACGGTGATCGGCCCATCCATGTGTTTTCACCTTTTCTTTTCGCTCGCCCGCACGAGTCGAAGGCGGCCGCAATCTCCATTTCGAACTGCTGCTGACGGGCGTGCTCAGCTGGTGACGGTACTGGTGGCCCCGCATCCAACCCACCCATCTCGTTAAGCGGGAGCAGTCTTTGCTGCAGGGGTAGCTGGCGACCTGGAAGCCGAAGCGATATTGTGTGTCTCCGTCGCGAGCAGGTTCTTCACAATAGTATCTGAAAGAGGCACTGATGTAGAATCGGGCTTGGCGGAAGAAGCACGGACGTGACGGGAGTGTTGCTCCACCAAAAGCTCACAAGAAAAACAACAAGTGCTCGCCACGGCCCTACAGCGCCCCCAAAAATACCCATGGCTGCCCAGAAAAAAAAGGGGCACCAAGACGGCCTCTGGAGGCCAAGAAGTCCCCGAGAGGCCCCCAGAAGCCCCCAGGACGCCCCCCAAGAGGCGCTATATATGTATTTATACATATACAATTATATTCTTATATCTTATACTTGCTGTAAACAAACAACAACAAACAAACGACCCGATAAAGTCTCGACCCAATCCGACGGCCACCCGGAACGAACATACTCCTAGTCGTCCTGCTCCATACAAACTTCCCAGGCAGTCGATCTTCCCGCTCCAAGCGACCCCAAGATTGCCTCCAAGACGGCCGTGGTGGTCTCCAAGGTGACTACAATGGCCCCACGAGAACCCAAGATGGCCAACATATGTCTCCAAAACAAGCCGAGATGCCCCCAATATGGCCTCACGATCGCCCAAGACAACCCACGAGGCCTCCGAGACGGCCCAGGAGGCTTCCAAGAGGACCTCCAGGAAGGCCCGGAGAGACCAAACACATTGATTTTCCTGGGTCTTTGAAGAATTCAAGCGTTTGCTCATTTCCTGCTTTCCGGTGGCCCACGACGCCCAAGAGGGCTTCGAGGTGGACTCCCTGACTGCCCCAGAGGCCCCCAAGGCAGCCCTAATACGGCCCAAGAGGCCCAAGACACTCAAGATGACCTCGCCAGCGCATGGCCGATGCATCGCCGATGCATCGGCGATGCACTGCCGATGTATTGGCGATGCGGCGAGATCCTCCGACCCGAGGAGAAGGAGAAGGAGGAGGAGGAGGCCCTGAAACGCTCCAATATGGCCCCAAGTCGACACAAAGACGCCCCTTAAACGCCTTCCGACGACGTCAGACGGGAGCCTCCAAAGGAGCCTCAAAAGGCCCCCAAGAGGCCCAAGGAAACCCCCCAAAGGCCTCCATGAGGCCCCCTGGAGCCTCTCAGGAGGCCCCAAGACTGCCCCAAGAGGCTCCCCAAAGGCCTCCCTTTGCCTCCCCCTCCTCGCCTTATTCTTGCTCACCCACATGTTCCCTTAAGATTTTCCACAACGACTGGGGGAACCCATAGTCCAGTAGCTTGGCCGAACTCTGGCAGCAATGTATAGCAGCGTTCGGCCACATAAGCGCTCCCAGAAGGCAGGGGTCGGCGGGTGATTCGCCGTGGGCGTCTTCGATCAAAGCTACTCGAGGCGTGCCCAACCCCTTCTCCACGCGAGGAGAATAGTTGTATAAACGCTTCATACAAAAGAACACATCGTCAGAAATGCACGATCTGCGCTGCCCTCATCTCCGCCGTGCATCCCAGGAGCCAACAAAGGTGGCGGCAGTTGCGCAAGCCGCAGCCCCCGAGGAAGCCGCGAGGTCTCGAATGGACCTGCGCTGCCCTCACCTCAGCCGTGCTTCCCAAGAGTCCACGAACGTGGCGACAATTGCGCACTTCGCAACCCCCGAGGGAGCCGCGGGGTCTCAACTGGATTTGCGCTGCCCTCATCTTCGCGTGCCTCTCGGGAGCGCTCTCAAATGGCGACAGTTGCCCACTTCGCAGCCCCCGAGGGAGCCGCGAGGTCACACATGGATCTGCGCTGCCCTCACCTCCGCCGCGCTTCCCAGGAGCCCAAGAAAGAGGCGACTGTTGCCCACTTCGCATCCTCGCAGGGAGCAGCGAGGCATTGGCTTGGTTTGCGTGGTCCTCCACTCCGCTGGACCTCCCAGGAGCCCCCGAAAGTGGCGACGGTTGCGAATTTCGCAGCCTCCCAGGGAGCAGCGAGGTCCCAAATGGATGCGCGTGGCCCCCGACTCCAGCGGACATCCCAGGAGCCCGCGAACGTGGCGAACACTGAGCAGTTCGCAGCCTCCCAGGGAGCAGCGCCGGAGGGCGCAGGAGGAGAGGGGAAGGAGGAGGAAGGGAAGGAAGCAGGAACGCACGGAGACCACAGTGCCCTCTATCCAGAACGAGAACCCGACACCGGAGGGAGCGGAAGCCGAGCATCGAGAAGGACGCCTTGGCACAGTGAGTTGCAGCATTGGCAACCCGTGGCAAAGACCAACTACGATTGAGCAGGGAGGAAGAGAAGAGGAGGGGCGGGCGAGGCGAAAACAAAGCGCCCTGGCTGGCCCTCGCCGCCTGGCCGGTCCGCCAGTGCTGCCCTGCTGGGCCTGGGGGGCAGAAAGGTACGGACGGGAGCACTGGAAAAGGAACCCCTAGGTGAGGAATCCAGGGTCTCGAGGCTGGTGAAACTCCAATCGAGGCCTGGCCATGGATGCCACCGCCGCCCTCATCACACAAGGAATCCTCCAGGGTCTGCAGCATCCTGGGCGCATTCCTGAACCGACGCCCCCGCCGTACCGATGCCGTTGCTCCCAGGACCTCTCCCGGGGTGCGTTCTGACCAGAACATCGGTGCGAGGCCAGGCGTGGCGACCAGGGCAGGGGTGGCAGTATCGGCAGCTCCTCCTCCCCGGAAGGGTGCCCCGCAGACGGGGGCCTTGAGCTTCGTTTAACCGATCCCCATCCCCGGCGGCGCGGCCTGGGCCCCACTGGCCGATTTACCCCCCTAGATGGGGATACGGGCCGTTCCCTTCGGGTTTCGAGGGGTGTATTCCCAACTGGGGTGGTAATTTGGTGGGGGTCTCGAAGGGGATGAGGATGGGGATAGGGGTCGGTCAAACGATGCTGAGGCCTTGATCGATGCAAAAGCCGCCGCTCTCCTGCACGGTTCCCGCGCGAAAGCAACGCGCCCTCCCGCCGCTTCCCTGCTCGCTGCGGAAGCCAGCGCCCGTCTCCGAGCGACGCCGCCCCGATGGCGCTGAGACTGTCTCCGCGTGGGCGACGGATGGAAACGGGTCTTACGCCAGACGACGCAGCGAACTTACGCCGTGGATGGCGCGGGCCGCCAACGCGGCACGCCGCGCGGAGGAGGGAGCGCTTACACGCGGCACTGCGCGGAAAGCTCCGCGCGCGAACGGCGGCGCAATCGAGCGAGTTTTCCTGCGCCGCCCACGTGATCGGGCCGCGGAGCGCAGGCCACCGCGCGGAGCCCCGCTCCCGTGCGGGCGCTCTCAGCCGCCTGGCCGGACGAGGACCATCTCCAGCGTCTTCGCCTCCAGAGGGCGCCGAAACCACACGGGCACCGAGCCTCCCGGGAGGCCCGTGCGGCTCTCTTGGGCATAGCCGGCAGGAGCGCCTCCTCCTCCTGCACCCCTGGACGGCCGCCAGACTCGGGGGCAACGTCCCCTCGGCCGGCCGCCAGACTCGGGGGCAGCATGGGGGGGGACGCGTCGACCTGTCGTCGCCCCGGGGAACGTGCGGACTCGCTCACAGAGGCCCACCGCCGACTCGACGGGCGAGGCATCGCCGATTCGAGCTTCGAGCTCCGTGCCGATTCGAGCTCCGTGCCCTCCCCCCCCAAAAAGCTCGCCCTTCCCTGCTGTGGCCCATCTCGGACGCCCCTCCCAGCAGCCCGCCACCCCTGGGCGGCTGCCGCGCACGGCCTCGGGCCGCGCGCCGGGGAAGCGGGGTCCAGGCGCCGACCCTCGCGCACCCCGCGCGCCTCTCCGAGAAATCGTGCCCGCGCGGCGGCGCCGATCGCCCACGAGAGCCGCGCCGGCGTCGGCGCCGGCGCGGGCGTGGACGTCGGCGCTCTCGTCGTCGGCGCCGCCCTCATCGCCGTCGCCGCCGTCCCGCCTCGTACATCTGCTTGAGCAGCCCGCTCACATCGCCTGCCGGGAGGGCACCAACCAACTCTGCGCACCGGCGGCGATCCTGGCCTGGCCAGGGCGGGGCACGCAACGCCTCCCGGGCACGGGGCTGGCGCGGCGCCAGGCTCGGCGCCAGGGGCTGCGCAATTTTGGCATCCCCCAGGCGGCACCCTCGGAGGCGATGCCGTTGATGGACACCACCCGGTCCATGGGCTGGACGGTCCATGGGCTGGACTGGAGGTTGTGCTCGTAAATCTCCCCGCCCTGCACCACCTTGCAGGATCGGGGATCGATGAGGAGGACCGTCAAAGGTTTTGACGGTCTCTCGCCCCTTTGCGAGCGTCAAAATGCCTCCGAAGACCTCTGGAGGATCGGGAATCGATGAGGAGGACCGTCGAGAACTTTGACAGTCTCTGGCCCCTTTGCGAGCGTCAAAATGCCTCCGTAGACCTTCTTGGAGGGAAGAGGGGAGGGAGGCTCCGCACCGCCACTGCTCCTCCCTCCCCTCTCCTCCCTCTCCTCCTGCTCCTCCCTCTCCTCCCTCCCTCCTCCCTCTCCTCCTGCTCCTCCTCTCTCCTCCCTCTCCTCTTGCTCCTCCTCCCTCTTCCTTGTCCGCCACCGGGCTCCGATTGGATTTGAAAAAGGGTTCTCATCGGAGCTCAATAGAAATCGAGCAGATCGCAGATCCTAAGAATTCCATTTGAATTCGGGTAAGACTCTGCTAGGAATTCCATGGGAAAAGAGCAGATTCCAGATCCTCAGGATTCCTGCTGAATTTTGATACCATCATGCTAAGATTTCAATGCGAAACTGGCAGATCCCAGATCCAGGAGGAGGGGGGGGAAGAGCAGGAGCAACCGGGAGCAACCAGGAGCAAGCAGGAGCAGGGGCAAGAATATGCAGGGAGGCCCAGAGATTGGTAATTGAAGTATGTGATGTTTACATATTGTTTTACAACTTGTTCCAGAATCCGACAGTTGAAAAGTGGTGTGTTTGTTCTCCAGTTTGGCCAGCTTTTCCCCACGACAGGTCCTTGGACAAGTTCCTTTCTTGTTGTAGGGGGAACTAGAAATAAACCAAACAAGCGTTATAGTCATGTGTATATATATGTATGTATGTATATATATATATAGAGGCATAAAACTTCTCTGGCTTCTACAATTTTTCCCTAGGACTGACCGTCGGAAAGCGCTGTGCTTTCTAGCTGTTTCCCGGCTTCTCCAAGTTTTACCAGAGACTGCGCAACAGGGTAGCGCTTGGGAAAAATGGAGAAGCTGGACAGCACAACGTTTTTCAACGTTCAGTCCTTGGAAAAAAGGCTGGAACAAATGGAACAGCTAGAACACATAATTTGTTCCACGGCCAGTCTCGGGGAAAAGCTGGAACAGCTGAACAACATGGCGTTTTTCAAATGTCAGTCTGTGGGGAAAGCTGGAAAAACTGGTAAACACAGCGTCGTTACATTTCCAATATATACCTATTGCGTTTGGATAGGGTGTCCATGAAAATCCAATGTTGGAACGATTCTAATAACATCCAAGTGGTCATCCTCCTTCTCTCCCTTCTCCTTTTCTTACATACGCAAGGGAGGGAGAAAGAGGAAGAGAGAGAGAGAGAGAGAAGGAGAGAGCGCGCGCAAAGAGTCACATATGCATGCGCGCGACTGAAGGGAATATTGTTCTCATGGTGGCGAAGGCAAGGAAACGCCGAAAGATATATATATATATATATATATATATATATATAGAAAGAAAGAAAGAGAGAGAGAGAGAGAGAGAGAGAGAGAGAGAAAAAGAGAGAGAGAGAGAGAGAAAAAGAGAAAGAGAGGGAGAAAGGGAGAAAGAGAGAGACATGTTGCACGTGCGTAAGAATTCCTCGAGATGAAGAGAAGCATCTGGGTGACGCAGAGAAAGAGAGCTGGAGAGATTCTCTATCCTGCTCCTCCTCCTCCTCCTCCTTCACACCTGCATGAGAGAAAAAGAGAGAGAGAGAGAGAAAGAGACAGAGAGAAAAAGAGAGAGAGAGAGAGAGAGAGAGACATGTACGATAGGAAGGGCCGAAACAAAAAGATGAAGGGAGGCATTTATTTTACACGGACCGGAGCTCAGAAGCCACTGGGAAATCCTCCTCGATTTTCGAATGCCAGTAAACCCTACTATGCACAGGGCACAGGGTCGTTTCTTTTTTGGGGTCGGTGGTACCAGCTAGCCCTACTACGCGTATTTTTCAATGTTTTTTTGTTAAGGTTTTCAGGGGGGCCGCAAACTTGGCCAGGAAGGCTTGCAGAAGGAGCGTGGCTACGAAACTCTACTCTACACATGTTTTTTTTCCTGGTTGGTCGGTGATGCCGCCGAATCCTGCCATGCGCGTTTGTTGTTTTTTGTTTGTTTCTGATTGTTTGTTTTTTGTTGTTGTGTTTTGTTACTGCTCTTCTCCCCGTGAACTCTACCAGGAAGACTTGCGGGAGGAGCATGCCCGCCAGACCCTGCTATACTCAGTTTTTTTTTTTTTGGGGGGGGGGGGGGTCAGGGTATAACACCGAACCCTATTGTAGTTTTCTGTTTTAAGAAAAGGGGGCCGCATATTCTGGCCAGGTCAAATATGTGGACGTCCTGAGAACCCACAAACAAAAAGTGTCTGAGAGGCTTGTCTGATCCCACCGCCCCAAAACACCAACAAACACTTGTGAATGACAGAGTTTGGTGGCCGCGCTCCTCCCGCGAGCCTCCTCGCCAAATTTGCGGGCCTTCTGAAAACATAGAAAGGCAAAGAGCTAACGCATAGTGGGGTTTGGTTGTATCACCGACAGATGCAACACAAACACGTGTACAGGAGGGCTTGGTGGCTGCGCTCCCCCCGCAAGCTTTGCTGGCCAAATTAGCGGGCCTCCTGAAACCCCCCAAACCCAACACACACTTGCAGGGATGTGACCCGGGTGGTGTGCCAGAATGCCTGAATGCGAAAACGCTATTTGAACATTCTATTCGTCTCTATTCGCCAAAGAAGCCGTGGCCTGTTGGCCTGGAGCCCGGCGACGCTCCTCACGCCTCCATCCAGCCTGGCGCCTCTGTTCGGCCTGGCGCCTCTATCAGCCTGGCTTCTGGTGACGCCCCTGACGTCTCTATTCGGCCTGGGAGGAGGAAAAGGAGGAGGAGGAGGAGGAGGAGGGGGAGGAGGGAGGAGGAGGAGGAGGAGGAGGAGGAGGAGGAGGAGGAGGAGGAGGAGGAGGAGGAGGAGGAGGAGGAGGCGCCTATATTGGCCCGCCGCCCGGCGGCGCTCCCGACGCCTCCATTCGGCCCGACGTGTCTACTGGCCCGACGCCCGGGTGACGCTCCCGTCGCCCATTCGGCCTGGCGCCTCTGTTAGCCTGGCGCCCAGTGGCGCCCCTGACGCCTCTATTCAGCCTGGCACCTTTATTGGCCTGGCGCCTGGTGGCGCTCCTAGCGTCTCTATTCGGCTCGCCTCTATTCGTTTATACCTCTAGACAGGTACACAACCCCTGAATCGACACAAATCACAAGAAAATAATGGACCCTGGTCTGGGATCCCAAGGAGGGTTGGCGTACTTCAGCTCTCAGGGCGCAACAGACTGGTTAATTTGCTACTTCGCCTCCAAAGAACAGCGCCCCGGCACGGGTTATGATTGTCATGGCGCAACAATTACGTTGATTCTCGGCGTTGAAATCCCGAAACGGTGTGTCGGCACCATTGAATATTGTCAGACGGTGGTCCTTCCATGGGGTACTCTGCGCCATGAAACCACATTCTTGTAGGGACCTGTGAAAAGCGAGCTTCGAGGGAAGGTAAAGTGCAACATCGTTGATGCGTCTTGGGTTTGCACTGGTCCTGCTCCTCCTCCTCCTCCTCCTCCTCCCTACCGCGCGGACGAAGATGAGGTCGAGTTCACGACCCGCCTCATGTCAGACCACTCGCTGAACTGCAGCGGGGCGTGAACTCGACCTCCCGCCTACCGCGCTGACGGAAGCGAGGTCGAATTCACGACCCGTCCTAGTTTAGATTAATCGTCGGGGTTGCTCAATTTATCACAGTCAGTGACCTTCCTGCTGCGCTGTTGCACAAGCACGGTGGCGGGGTTTGCCGCAAGCAGCCGAATACCAAACCCATGGGGCTCTCATCTTATGCGCTGCCCAGGGTGAAAAGGAATGCTCCTAGGAACTTATGAGGGGACTTGCGACGGCAAACAATATGGTAACATCGCTGATGCGCCCTGGGTTTACTCTGGTCCTCCTCCTCCTCCTCCTCCTCCTCCTCCTGCTCAACCACCTCCTCATCCTCATCCTACTCCTCTTCTCCCACTCCATGCCCCCAAGGTTCCCGACCCCTTCCCGGGGCCAGTCTGAAGCCGGAATTGCGAAACACTTTGGGATTGACAACAACAGAACGGCAGAGGTCTGGAGGGGAGGAGGAGCCCACGTACCAAGGGGGGGACGAGGCCGTGCAACCACTATGGATTACGATATTGGCAGACGGGGAAGGCAGAACGCCTCGCCTGAAGTGTAATGCGATACTAGTCGAAAAATTGAAGCTGATTCAATACATCGGCCCTTAGCTTAGGAAGTGGACTGGCAGACAACGCGTGATGCGGATAGCTGCGCCTTGCAGATGAGGAGGGAGGCACTGGTCGGCGCATAGTTGATGCAGATGCCAAGATTGCGCTCGTCCTGGGGGGGGGGTGAGAAATATGACAAGGATGCAAGGCTCCTTCCTCCTGGCGGCGGCCCTGCAACATACTCACGATTAGCACGCTTCTTCAACTAGGGGCTGGAAACAAGCTGGTTTGGTTCATCACAGGAGCGGATACGAGTTCTTACATGTCGCGACACGGTTTAGGAAGAGGGTGAGGAGGGAGGGAGCCAGCGGAAGGGGAGGATAAGGCGAGGGAAAAAAAGGAGGGGAAGAGGAAATGCAGGAGGGGCAAGTCCCGTTTCTCTTCCTCCCCCTACTTTTTCTCCTCCTCCTGTTCCTGCTCCTGCTCCTGCTGCTCCTCCTCCTCCCTCTCCGTCCTACTTGCCAAATAAGCTGGACTACCACCAACTCGATGCAATGGTCCTCCGCTTTGCGAAGGTCGTGCTCCGAGAAAGGAACTCAACATTTTCGCATGACGCACCAGCGGGCTCGAGACCCAAATACCGCCGCCTACCCGAGTGGACGGTATTACTACGAATACGCATGACAGATCCGAGATCAGAACTACTCATACGCCGTCTCCGACAGTGTCAGCAAAACATCATACTCTCTGACGACAATTTGCAGGCGTTGGCTGCCCCGTTTCGGACTCCCGAGGGCTTGGATGAGAACCCCACGTCCTTTGATCACGGCTCCGTGGACTCGAATGCGAACCCCTGGGCCCTCCAGGTCCAGAAGGACCTCCGAGTGCTTCGCTGTTTAAAAGGACGCCCCGAGTTCCTCGCCAACTACTCGGTTCAGAGAATGTCCTCGAACGGACACGCTGGGAAAAAGTTCAGTGGGTTTGACCGGATAGGCTTCGTACAGTGCCTGAGCTCCGAGGGCTCCACAAGCCTGCCGACCTACCAGAACCCGACGCTCGATCTCCACAATTCTCTGTGTGTAACCTCCATGGGGATCGGGACGTGGAGGTGTGCGGCAAGGTCTTTTACAGCACAAATGCTGTTATCGTTCATCGGCGTCATCACCCTGACAAGACAAAACATTACACAACAAGACGCTCCGCATGAGACGTCTACGTGGGTGCCGCGGGTGGGCGCTGGGGCGCCAGCAGGGCCACTAATGGGTCAAAGTCAATGTCGCGTCGTGTGGTCGTTCGGGGCCGAACTTGGAGTTCGCGACAAGAGAGAATCAAAACAATGGGAAGGTGGGTCGGAGATAACAGCTGGTCTCGGACACGGCCGGAGTCGGCACACGACCATTAGACGGAATCGGAAAAGCAAAAACCGGAACCGGAACACTTTGAAACTGGAATACGTGACGTGGGAGTCGGAAACGAAAGAAACCATAATCGGAGACCAGAACCGCGACAGAAGAAATTAGCAATGTGTAGACCGCAGGCTGTCCCTTGGTTGGGGGGGTGGGGTGCGGGCATAGACCCAGAGCGGCTCAACTCGATCGCCTTGATCCCCTCGGGGGGCGACGTGCCGAGCCACTCCTGCGACGCGGCCCCACGAACGCCTAGGAGCCCCGAAGCAGCGCAAGCCTCCCCGACACGTTCTGTCATACCCAAGCTGGACGGCGTCCGATCGGGATCGCCTCTGAGTCTCGTTTGACCGATCCCCATCCCCAGCGGCGTGGCCTGGGCCCCACTGGCCGATTTACTCCCCTGGATGGGGATATGGGCCGTTCCCTTCGGGTTTCGAGGGGTGTATCCCCAACTGGGGTGGTCATTTGGCGGGGGTCTCCAAGGGGATGGGGATGGGGATTGGTTAAACGATACCGAGCCTCTGTGCTCGCTCCAAACTTAGAACAATAGCGTGTGCTCGGCCGTCTGTTACCTTCTGTGCCCGTGAGCTCCGAGGGCGGCACGATGCTCCGTGGGCGAACGCCCTGAAGCGTGCTCCACCCCCTGGCCGCGATAAACTCGAACGTATGAGGCTAGATGGCTCGTTGTCTTCTCAAGCATGCGCGCATTCACGCTGAGGTATGACCACGTGTACGGGTCAATGCTTGAGTGCATGAACTTCCTGTCCAATGGCAAATTCGGCGGTACGCCGATTGAATTCCTAACTGGCTTATGCTGACTCGTCAGCGCGCGTGTGATGGCCCGATGTCTTCGGCGCTCCCCGAGTCCCAACGGACGTCTCCGCGGAGGCCTCTGGCGGACCCCGGGAGGTCCACGGAGGTCTGCGAAGGATCATCGCGGAGGCTCGTAGAGGCAACCTGCAGCACACTCGCACCAGCTCCGACCCTCGACCCTCGAGGGGGGAGGGCGAGGGCGACGACGGCGCGGCCGCGACGGCACCGACGAGGCCGAGCGTCCTCCCGCTCGACCCGAATGGTGAAGGCCTCGGGCCTCCGGACCCGGATCTGCAGGTCGGTACCCTCCTCGGCGGCAGCGGGCGGACGCGCGGTGCCAGCCCGCGGCGGCGGCCGCCGCGCCCGCCGGCCTCGTGGCGCCGTCGCCGTCGACGTCGACGCCCGTCGCCATCGTGGTCGTCGGCCCCGTCGCCATCGCCGTCGACGTTGAAACCACCGCCGTTGCCGTCGACAGCTGCCGTCGGCATCGACGCCGTCGGTGGCGTTGACGTCGTGGTCGTCGTATCCGTTACCTCGTGGCGATGACGCGGTGGCGGCGAGGAGCGGAGAGGGGGGCGGCCAGCGGTGCTAACTGGCCTCGTCGCAATCATCACTGCCCCTTAAGGCAATCCTTTCCGCTTTCTGCTCCTCTGGAAGTGTCCCCCGATGGGAACCACCTCATACCCAAACTTACACCATAAGAAACGCTTGCAGCACGCGCCTGGACCAGGAAGGCCAGACACCGACCAGATCCAAATCAAAAACTGCCCAGTCCGAATTCTCCCAACATATATCCCTCCGCTCAGCCATTAACTCGTGGAGCTTTTTGGCCCAGCTGACACGGCGGGGTGACAGACAGGGGGGGGCTCCACGGGATCAAAGGCGAGGGATGGGCAGTCGAGATATAAGGTTTTGCGGAGTTGAGGCCCTTGATCGCCCCCCTCCTACCCGAGGTGGGGTGGGAAGGGCACGGCCCCCCCCAAATCAGATTGTGACGCTTAGCGTAGGCTCCGCACGCACTACACCAGCGCAGCTCGTCGTTTCCACCTGCCCACCAACGCCTGTGGGAGAAATGGGGCTGGGCAGACCTAGCGGGGACCCTAGGGCACAGCTCCTTGACCAGGCGGGCGCAGGTCCTACAGCTCTTTTCGCACCGAAGTCAAACCCAGCGGCCGCCGCTCCATGTCACCTGATGCCCCCGCATCCGAAGCGAACTCGACTGGATCGAACACGCGACGAAAACGAGGCTTCTTAGCATCAGCGTACAAGAGGACAAACAAACGACACCCACAACAGCAACGGCAGGTGGGCCTCGACCTCCTCCCAAGAAGGATCGACCTTCGTGTCTCTGTTAGCACAGTTATCAGCCAGCCTGTTTGCTCTGAAGTAAAGCCATGGAGCTTCTCTCACCTGCGCCTCATTATTCCAAGGTGTGCGGGGGAATCCACGCTGAACAAACCCAGTCAACACCGATGCCTGTCAACATGAGCCAGATGTTGTACCAAACTGCGTGGTGGGTTATCATGGGGCAGCGACGCACATTTGCTCCCGCCACTACCCGTGATAATGAGAAAAATGATCCGGCGGTAGGACCCCGCATAAGAACCTTCTCGGCTAATTTGAAAGTGCCCCTCACCGTCGTCCACGTGATTGTTGAAGTGTCCTCTACGTCATTCTCCTCCTCGCCCTAGCGCAGGCTGTCCTCCCGGTCCCCACGTTGTCCTCTCCTATTTTGAAAAATCACCCTCCGCCACTTATGCACCCCCTTTCTATTGCATGAGCGCGCATGCCGATGTTCCTCGGCGCCGTGGCTGCCTCGGCCAACGCGGGCGCAATCTCTAATTGCTACATTGCGCCGCAGCCGTTGGGGCAAACCCGCGGGCCGGGCCGTCGGGGCTACCCCGCGAGCCGCTGGTGCGCGAGACCAAGCCGCTGGGGCAACGCCGCGGACTTCGAGCGGGGCGCCGCCGCGCTCGGACGGGGAGCGGCGCGAAGCCCAGCTCTGCCGCGAGCTCCTCCGCCGCTACCCTGGATCCCTCCGCGCTGACGTCGAATTCCAGGAGCGCTTTCCGCAAGGGTGCCGGCGGCCCTCGCTCCAGGAACTCTCGCGGCGGCGGCCGCGGGATCAGCGTGTTCCACGCGCGCGTGGCGCGGGAGGACAGGACGTAGAGGTGCAGCCGCCACCGGTCGTCCAACGTGCCCGTGCGGCCAGCGTCCTCGCCCGTCGCGCAGCCTGCGACAGCCCGGGGGCGGGGTTGGGCGCGCGCGCCATGGTGAACTCCGAGCGGCGCGCGGCGTGCGGCCCCCAGCTTTGCCGCGTGAGCTCCTGCTCGCTGGGTCTGAGCATCGGCGAGCTCCGCGCCCGCGCCTCGGCCCGGCCGTCGTCGTCGGCGCCTTCGGCGCTGCGCCGCAACAGCTCGGCGGCCTCCTGGTAGATCGGGGACTCTTCGAAACCGTGCACCTGCGGCCAGATTGCCTGCGGTAGGAAGCGGGGGCGAATGGGCTGGCCTGGCGAGCGCTCCTCGCGCCGCTGTCCGTCCTCGGGATGGAACTCGGAGGGCGCGACGGTGGCCCGTTGCTCCTGCGCGAGACCCAACTTCTTATTTAGCTCTTCCCGCGCCGCGGTGAACCGCACCTCCGCGCCGACGTGGACCAGTAATACGTCGTGGATGTCACCCGTCTTGCCCGTGTTCGGGGCGTTCAGGTGGCGCCGGCCCGCGTCGGGATCGCCCTGGATCGCGCGGCGCTCGCCCATGGCCTGCAGGAAAACGAGGGGCGCGCCCAGACGCCGCGCGTCGCGACGAGCGCGCGTGTTGATCCACCTCGCCAGCGTCTCCCAGTAGATGCCCATGCCGTAGCCGAGCCGAAAGTTCTCGCGCGGGCGCCGAGGGGCCAGGGCGCCGCGGCTGGCCGAGACCAACGTCGTTTCCCAGGCGGACCAGACCTCTGGCGGGGTTACCTACATTACTTCGCGCCTTCGCGTCGCCGCCCTGGAGAAACGCATCCTCGCGGGCCAGGCCGCGAATCTCGATCATCTTCGCGCCCCCGCGGGCGACCCAGAGATGCAGGCGCAGACTCACAGAGAGGCCGCTCGAGGCAGGGAGGAATCGGCGAGTGTGTGGAGCCAGGGGCGGGCCCTGTCGGGGCAGGGAGGCAGGGCGACAAGAATGCACCGCTGCTCGTCCTTGCCATCGAGCTCGCTCCGCTTCAGCAAGCGGCTTCGATTTTTCAGGTGCGCGCAGCGAGATGGGAAACGAGGACAGCGCGACCTGGGTGCTCGGGATGGCGGGGGTAACCTGGACGAGATGTCGCCAGACAAGATCCGCCATCGTGCCTCTGAGCACGGAGTGGGCGTGTCCTCAAGTCCTCTGTTGCCTAATCCCTGGAGCTTCAGTCCCCAATCCTGTGGAGTCTTTAAAGGGCCCCGACCCACAATTCTTGAATCTGCTGGGGCTTCCCGCGTGCCCCTTGGGCCCCAGGAAGTGTTCCCGCATGATCTTCTCGGGCCCAAGAGGGCCCCAAGACGGGCCAAGAGGGCCCCAAGAGGCCTCCAAGACGGTTCAAGAGGGCCTCGAGACGCCCAAATATCGGCCCAAGACGCCAAAGATGGCCTCACAACGGCCCAGGAAACCTCCAAGACGCCCCAAGAGGCCTCCCAAGAGGGCCCCGAGAGGCATAAATCATTGATTTTCCAAAGGTGTTTGATAGATTTTGACGTTCTCGCCTTTTCGGCTTTCCGACGCTCCAATGACCCAAGAGAACCGCAAGACCATCCCCGAACGGCTCAAGAGGCCTCCAAGAGTGCCCCAAGACGGACTCAGAGCGCCCCAAGACAGCCCAAGAGGCGCCCAAGACGGCCCAAGAGGGCCCCAAAAGGGGCCCAAGAGAGGGAACACGAACGGAACATCCGAGCCTTCCGCCCCAAGAGGCCCTCAGGAGGCCCCAAGAGGCGCCAAGGACCCAGGAGGCTCCAAGAGGCCCCCAGAGGCCCCACGAGGCCCCCGAGAGGGCCCCAAAGAGGCCCCGACTCCACCTCAAAGATGTCTCCAAATTGCCTGCCTCCCAGAAGCCCTCGAGAGGCCTCCCACGAGATCCCAACGAACATCTAATAGTCTTCTTAACCCAAATCCATAATCATACCCACCATCCAGGCACGGTGAGCGCTCGCCCAGGCCAGCCTCATCGTGTGTATCCAGCTGCCTGGCAAAAGGAGAGCTGGTGGGAGTGCTGCTGTGGTGGTCAGATGGCCAGCCGCCAGAACCAGAGCTGCGTGTCCGACCATGGGACCATGAACGAACACGTACTCCAGATTTCGCCATAAAAGGGAGGGGGTCACAACCCTCACAGACGGGCAATTCCAGACCCCCCCAAACAAGCCATGAAGGGCGGCTTCTTGCCCAGACCCACTGGAACCCTCCAAGACAGCTGAAATCTGACCCCATCCCAAACCAGACCATCCCCCTTTTGTTGTGAAATCTGGAGTAACTTCGGCCTCCGGTGGCGTTTGGCGGCCTTCGGCGATCTTCGGCGGTCTCTGGCGGCCTCCGGTGGTCTTCGGCGGCCCTCGGCGGCCTTCGATGGTCTGCGGCGGCCTCCTGCGGTCCCTGGCGGCCTCCGCCGGTCCGTCGGGGTGCCTGGGCGGTCTTCCGCGCGCGAGGGACAGACTGGGCGACGGGCGGCTTCCTCTGACCAGGAGTCCCAGACCGAGCATGGGAGGCAGAACGAGATCGAACTGCGGCTGAGGCGAGGCGCGGATATGCCGTAGTACCCCACAGTGCGGATGAGGAGGGGCGCGCGCGGGGTGGGTCGCGAGTGAGTCGTGGGCGGGGGGGGCGACAACGACAACGACAACGACAACAACAACAACAACGACAACAACAACAGCAACAACAACGACAACAACATCAAAAGCAACAACAACGACAACAACAACACCAACAACAACAGCAACAACGACGACAACACCAACAATAACGACAGCAACACCACCACCACCAACACCGACAGCAACAAACAACACGATCAACAACAATAACAACAGCAACAACAACAGCAACAACACCAGCGACAACAACAACGACACCACCAACAACGGCAACAACAGCAACAGCAACAACAACAACGACACCAACAACAACGACACCAACACCAACAACAACAACAGCAACAACAACAATAGCAACATCAGCAACAACAACGACGACAACAACAACGACAACATCAACAACAACTACACCGACAACAACAACACCGACAACAACAACAGCAACAACGACAACAACAGCAGCAACAACAACGACAACAGCAAC